ATTGTTGATCAACATTTCAATTTTATATCAAGGTTCTCTCTTATTAAGTTACTTCCTATTGGGACAACATCAACAACAACAAAAAAAGATTCAGATGCTTTATAATTAAATTGTTCAAATTAAAGATTTTTTTTTGTAAATTCCCATTTGAAATTCCTATAAACATTTCATGCTATCTTCTCTTTCTACTACAACCTACATGCACTGCAGGATATAATAGTAATAACAGAGATATGCTCAGCATTGTAATTGCTATCGACACTTGCACATATTTGCAGTTCATTCAGCATAGACTTTTCTATTATTTTGTATTTACAATGTTTTTTGTGCAGGTTTAATAAATTTTTTGGCATTGGCACACTCTTTGACTGTAATACTGTGAATAGGGATTATTTCGCTTAACAGAATTCAAAAGGTCTGCATGTGCTAGTAATTCAGAAAATTTTGAAGTAAAAAAGGAAAATTGAGGGATTGAAGCGCATTTAGGAAATACTCAGAAACGTAGAAAATTTTTTATACCATTATTATTAGCTACTCCCTCCTTGAACTCACGACCATAGCTTTGTGTCTACCAGCATGACATACACACAAAGCAGATGCAATGACTCATTTTGACTCCACATTCGAAAAACAGAATTAATAAAGAATTTCAGAATTTTTTTTTCTCTTACAAAAGCTGAATTATATCCTTTAATAAACCATTATTGTGCAGCATGTTGCAGGATAATAAAGCATTTGTCTATAAAAGAATACAGATCTTTTCCTTCATTCATTCTTTTAAAATAAAATAAAATATAAACCATCATGAGATTCATAAATTTGGATTTGATATGAAGGAAAAAGAGCTTTACTGGTGTGGATGTATGTTAAGGGTTACTAGGACAAGGACATAAAAAGTAAATACTTTTTTTTATTTATCTTCTATCGACGTTTCCATATTTACGCATTAAATTCTAAGTAATTCTTCCATCCATTTTTTTCTTCAGCATATTTTTATGGAAATGCTATAAAAATCTCCCTCCTAGTTTCTATGTTTTTGGAGCATCCAATCTCGAGTGGAAGTTTTTTTTATCTAACGATAAATTTTGAGTACTCTTAAAGTATTTCCAACTGAGAAATGTAAAACTTCTTCCGGTTTTCTTCTTTTGCTCTTTTTTGAGGGAAGACGAATTGAGTTGGAAACTTAAGATTTAGAGTTTGAACAGGAAGAATTTTTTTTGTGAATCCTTGTCATTTCGAAAATACTCTAAGGAATGATGGTAAAAGATAGATGTTTAGTAGGAATCAAACCCACGTCTTTTTAAAAGATGATTCAAATGATACGGATATTCTGTCTTATGTCTATCATTTCGGCTAAAGGAGCTTTATCTTTAACTAGCTAATCACTATGACAGATTCCCGTACATATGTCTTGATATCCCAGATTTCGAAATTCCAACTTTTTTTCTCAAAAAACTCTGGCAAATTTAAATAATTTTCCTGGAAAGAGAGGCACAAGAGGGAATAAGGCTACTGTCTGTAACCTAAGAGGATCTGCTGGCTACGCCTTTGAATCAAGTTTCATGTTTCTTCCAGGTGATTGTTAAATGATGACTTGTACTGACCGAAATAAATTCCCATATCCTATGAAGTTTCAAAAGTAGGATCAAATTACAAAATTTAAGGTTTTCATGTCTTTTTTAAGCTGCGCATCTCTTTAAATCAGATAAATTTTTGACACAGGTTTAAAAAAAATACAAAATTTTCATTCAAAACCAGATCAAGATTAATTCCTTTTTCTGTCCATCATTAAATCCTTAAAAAGCCAAATAGGGATGCTCTGCATTTGTTATCTTTATCCAAAAAAAACAAACTTTTTTTTCTCCCCTCAATTTAAATAAACAATGATAAAAAAAGCGTATAAAAAAAGCATGAAGGATGCTTAATTACAGAAAATAAAATATAAAGTCACATGCAGAGTGGAGCAGTAAATAGCATCTGTAAATTAAACACTCCCCAACAATTTTAAAAATGGACATTTTCCATAATTATGTTATCATTTCACAACAGGAAGACATTTAATAATTTCCGTTCATTCCTTTTGATGATGCTGTTAAAATTCATGACATTTTCCAGCCTTGTGCGGATGAAAGTTTCTCATATTCATATTTTTCATGAATGAATGGTGCAAGTCAGTCTGAAATGGAGATGCCATAATGAAAAATGTCAGAAGCACAAACATTTTCCCAGTCATGAAACTTTCTAGTGCTTATTTCTCGTATTTTGTGCTCATCTTCAGAGAGATGAGACTTGAAAAGGTCTAATTATTTTAATTGCGTCAGAAACTTTTCATCAGGGATACTTTGAGAACTTCTTTATCTCTTGTGTATGCATCTAAAGTACACAGAATACTAATACAATAGTGTTGATAGTTGGAAGTTATGCACAGCATAAGATTTTATTGAATTTAAGAAGTTTTCTCATTGAAAATTATTTGAGTATTTTAGAAGTTAAGAAAGTTGAGAACAGGAAACATTTTGGCATTTTCTATTGCTTCCTCCCTGACTTTTATTATGAAAATGAACACAAATGTCACATTTAGGTAAAATCATATTTTTAGATGCTTGTTGATGAAAATTAAATGCATAAACATTTTCAATTAATGCTAATGATTAGGCATTTTTTTGAAAAAGTCTAGCTTGTTCTGAAGAGAATCAGAAAAAATTGTATATTGCATTGCAATGATAAGAGTATTGAACCAAAGAGTTCTGCAGATGCACATTAAAAAATCGTATTGGAATCAATTGTTGATTAATTTAAATGCTGAATATTTCAACCGTTAAGTAACAAAAGGTTTATTTTTTCTAAGAGCATTCGACAACAAGTGCACTTCAAAGTTTGTATAATTTCATCTGCAATTCAAAATTACAATTAAAAGTAAAATTCGAATTTCTAAATTCACAAATCAATGCATTTTGAAAAAGTTTTCAGAACTTTTCGTATGTTCATCAAACTGAAAATACAATCAAGAACCATTGTTCATCAATCATAAAAATATTTCAAAATGTTGTATAAAATTTGTACTTCATTGTACTAAGACAATTAAAACTTTTACCAGCGAAATTTTATGAACTCAATTTTTTGGTAATGTCGTTACATGATAATTTTCACCAGTTCGTTGGTCATGTTAATTACACCTTTAATGACGTTGAGTAATTACTAACTGTATAGTTATTTCTATTCATAGATTATTGAAAATTTTACTTATTAGGAAGTTCACGTTGTTAAATATTCATAAACTATAATTTTCAATAGAAATTAAGGAAGCAAGAAAATGGTTTTTATTAATGTCAGATTGTGGAAATTCAATTTCCAGACTTTTTGAAGACTAAGGGTGTTAAAATATGCACATTTGAAAATTTCAAATTTTTAAAAACCGTTAACAAGTTTTTCGTGATTTACAAGGAATTTTCGAATGCATTATTAAGCATTTAGTTTCGTAATGATTAAAAAACATTTTTCAACAAACAGAATTATTAATTAACACGCAATTATGAATTACATTATGGTTACAATTCTTGAAATTCCACCACTTGATGTTACTGGAGATAAGCTTCAAATCAGGATAAAGCATATCAATGTAGAATTGATCGAGATCAAGATCAAGAAAGAGATTTATTTGATTTATCACTTAGTTTTGAATTCAAATAGAAAAAGTCAGATAATCGAATAGAAATGCGGCACCAAGCCAGCGTGACTGGACCCATATCAGATCCAGCGTTTTGTCAAAGTTACTGATTGGTGCTGTATCTCTAATCGATTAACCAACTTATGCTTTTCGGTGAATCTTCAAAAAAAAAACAAAAATTCATATTTAAATGATAAATTCAAAACTTCAATACACGAATTTACCCCTCGACTCTCCTAATTCATTTCAAAAGCCTTCATTTAATGCTAATTCAACTAAATCGTAATTAACTCGAACTATTCAATTCTGCTGGCATGAAATGAAAATTCCATATTTTTTGTTCTAGTCAGCAATTCATTAAAACAAAGCACACAACACATCAACAGTTAACAAATATCAAGGAATTAAGCGTGTGGAAAATTTACAGATTTCAATTACAAATTTTCCCATTTCAGTTAATTGCGTTTGTATTTGAATGATGATTTTTTTTTTTGTCATGATGAATATTTGACTTTTCCTCATTCCGTACTCGCGTCGCTATTTGCTAATCCTCGAAAATGTTTTTATCAAATAATTACAAAACTTAATTGAAAGCACGTAAAACGCTTTTTCAAGTTTATAAGTACCATCGTGTATAATTCATATATGGAATGAGTGTATGCTATTCATTTTGCGATAAAAACAATGAAAATATATAACAAGGCATACGAAAGTCAACCCATTAGTATTAAATGTTATCATTTCGTACAATGACAAGGAAGAAGGAACGCACACATGAATGATGAATAGATGAAATTTATGAAAATTAATTTTCAGTTTTTCTAGCTTATCTTCAAAATCATTTCTTCCTATATTTCATTCCTCCTTAATAAACTGCGAGTGTAGCAAGAATTTTTCATGCATATTATGTGCTTAATATAGTCACACAAGCAAAAAACGAGAATCTTATGAATAAACACATATGTCAGGCTCAATACACATCCGAAAGTATGCCAGTTTCAATTCTTATGAGCGACTGTTATTTTAGTTTAAGTGTATGTATGAGTGGTAAATTGAGATTTCTTTCATATTCATATGTGCAAATATATGATAATAAATAAAATAAAACGTGATGTTTATCTTGCCAATTTTTTTTTCTCTCTGTTTTTATTGTCACAATTTTAATAATACTAGAATTCTTCACTCGTTGGAAATAGCTGGAAATTACTTTGAGCTGCTTAAGTTAAACAATGCGCTCCTATGGGATGTAAGTTTGATTTAAGGGTCATAATACCTCCTTGATGGATGATTGTCTTGAATTTGCTTGAAGTTTTTAAATATAACAATATTTACTTTACTTAATTAATTTTCGTGCATGTCTTTGACCAAGAGTATAAGCTTCATTTAATTCAACAACTGCAATTTTGCTAATTAAATTTACAAATGAAATTTTAGACTATCGTGTTGATAAGACTTCTAGTTTACATAATATACCTTGTTGGTATATTTTGCTAATTACCATGATGGTACTGTTGATAGATATTGAACCATTAAACAGCATTAAACCACAATTCAATTCACAAAATTAATGAAAATGCAATGAATTCATTTCTGATCCTACGATTTTCAAAAATCGAATAACTTGATGAACACATTTTTCAAAGAGCCGCGACAAAATCAGATTTATGTGGGATTAGAAAAGGACATACAGTTCACTATATTCAGTGCGTATTGAAATACTACAATTGTAAAATCGCGGCTTCGAGATGAACGATGTCAACATCGTTGATATGCTAATATTCATTTTGATTGAAAAGCTCGCCTCTATTTGTTCGGAGCGAGCAATTTTTGACAAAAAAAAAATTACTATCGATGTTGCAAAGTTCAATAGAGATTTTTTCTTCTCTATTGCTTAATAGAGATTGCATGGCGAATTAGATCAATCAATCCTAAAAAGTTTTGTCAAGTTTAATCAAAAAAAAGCTATCCTTTCTGTCAAAAAGTTTAAAAAAACTTATTTTAGTTCCATTAAGATTTAGAATGTTTACTTCATTCTTCAACCACAGCTAATCAAATATTTTTCTTTGCTCAAACTTTTAATATCCCTTAAAACATTAATGTTTCCTTCTTTATAGTTTTCAAATATTTATCCTCGAGCAAGGACTCACTCATAATTCGTTATCTTTTCAAGCTTGCCACTCATTCCTGTTTTGCTTCTTTTATCTTAGAAATTTACAATGCTTCCAGCAATTTTTTGTATTCTGTTTACACAAAGTAGAGCAATTCTTCATTGTTGTTGAGGTTGGAGTTTATAATGCTTAGTTTAAGTAAAGTCCAGAGTTGATTCTGTGAATTTTTGTTCAAATAATTACGGAAACTAAGTAAAGTTTAAATCTAATTCAAACTTGAATGATAAAATTGATCCTCTAATCCTGACTTTAAAGTTAGGCTTAAGGAAGCATTAAGTTACTCCTTATGAATAAAGTCTTGCCTAAAAGTAGCTATAAATGCTCAAGATCTTAATAGTTTTATAGACTAGTATAGATTTTCACATTTAATGCTTAAGTTAAACACAAGATTCATAGAAGAAAATGTTTATATCCTCTCAAATAAATGCGCAACTTCATCAAGTCAGTAAGTTCATAATAACCAAATAACAAGCCACGAGAATTATATACAACCAAAAGTAATCTGATAGTCGTAATGTAAGTCAGTAAAATTTACCATCGATGTTATATGATTCTTTACGAATATCCTCATATTTTTTTATTTCATTTTAAATGGAAAAGTTTGTGCATTTTAATGAAACATGGGAGGACCATTTTTTATTGGCCAAGAAATATTGATTCAATATGCGTTCCACAATATGATAAATGGATCGAATATTGGACAAATTGTGATGATATATAACTTTTTTAATACAAAATATATTGCAATCTCGTGAATAAATTTTTTTCATTTCGTATAATTTATTGTATTTGCTGAAAGTATCAATTTTTTTATTATTTCATGTTAAGGGGGATAACAACATGATGAGGAAATATTTTATTAAAAAAATACAAATTTTTCACTGAGTTGAGCAATTTTCTTTCATTTCTAATATTTTCCACATCATGTTGTTATCCCCTTGACATCATGTCATCATTTACAAGCCAACTTTATCTTTTTTCATTTCCTTTTAGCTTTGCATCTTTTAGGAATGCATTTTTATATCCATCAAACAATGTATTTTCAACAGTCGGTGGACCATCAGTGTAGTCGAAATATGGTTCACCCTGTTGATATCTATATCCATTCTCGTCAGCAGAATATCTAACAAAATGTCTCTCTCCACGATCATCATAGAAGCCATAAAAGCCACGAACATTAAGAATTTTCTCAAAATTTTCATCATCCTTAAAAAATCCATATTCGTACCTCATTTGGCCATCGGTGGTCTCATAACTATAAAATTATACAACATAATCATAAAGTTACATGCTTGTTATGTCATTCTATCTCCAGTTTCACACTTAATTAACCAACATATTGTAGTCTACTACTTCATAACACTTACTATAATGAATATCTATTTTCTGGGAGATGTTTATATTCATAATGAACAATTTCAGCTTGCTTTTGTGTTTGCGGCATCGTCGTTATGAATCTTGCCTCGGGACCACGAATTTTATCATGATATTGCTGCTTGATGTTAGTTTTCTCAACAGCATTTGCACTAGCGTCAGATAATATGAAAGCACAATATATCAAAATTGTTTTCTTTAGCATGATTGCTACCCTCTAATTCTCTTACTACTCGCTTTGTAATTGCCAAGACAAATAAACTTTTTTTTTCTAGATTATTTAATGAAAATCTCTTACATAAGCCTTGTTGCGCTATTCTTGAACCATAACACGGGACTGAGGATTTAAATAGAATCTTCATTCATTTTTAAAATGAAGTAACGTGGAAGGAGAGAAAAAGATAAAACGTTGAGGAAGCTACAGAGAATTATTTTTTATTATGAAATAAGATTATCTTGTGTATGAATTTTTTTCTCTAGAATTTTATCTACCCAAGTAAATATTTTATTCTTCAATTAAGTTGCTTTGCTTGTTCCTTGCGAATTTTTGTCAGATTTTTATTTAAATATATGCTTTCTTTTAGGGCTCGTTCACTTATTACGTAACGCAAAAAAACGAGTTTTTAGACCCCCCCTCCCCCCCTGTAACAAAGCGTAACAAAATCTTAGACCCCCCCTCCCCCCCTCCATAACGTAACAATAATTTTTTTCATTAAAATTGTTTATCAAATGTTTATTATACTTCCTTTAAGTACATATGTAAAAGTAAATAGAAGGAAAGCAATAAAAAAATATATTAATCATTTACATCCATATTATTAACTAAACGCAAAAAAACTCATAAGTTTTGTAATCATTAGTCGTTTTCCCAAATTGGTTGAAAATGATCTTCAACTGCAAATACATTTTGATATTCAACAATAATATCAGTATTTGCACGTTCCTCTTCAATATCCAAGTTCTCAGCTTCTACCCAATCCAAATCCTCTTGCAATTGTACTAATACTTCTTTTTCACGTCTGCATATTACTTTTCTTGGTTTTTTCTTAGTATTAACTATACGTTTGTGAATAATTTTTCGGTGATTCTAAAAAGTTCTTAAGTTAAAATTTAACGATAAAAAAATTTAAAATTAATATAGAAAAAATATATTTTTTGAAAAGTTACGTAACAAAATTTAGACCCCCCCCTCCCCCTGTAACAAACCGTAACAAAATCTTAGACCCCCCCTCCCCCCCTAGTGCGTTACGTAATAAGTGAACGAACCCTTAAGTTGTGACTTATTATTAAACATTAGGAGATTAATATTAAATCCATCGGACATGCTATACTTAAGACCTACGGTACAATAGATTGATAAAGATATTGAAGTAAGTAAATAAATAAGGTCAACTATGTGCATTAGAAGTATAGTTTTGGGCTTTTTTAACTATTTTTTTTCCTTAACTTCATAAAAATTACATTTTTACTACAAGCAACTATTTTAAACACCCTCACATAAGCGATTGATTTAAAACCGACAAAGGTTAACATCAAAAATATTTAATTTCTGTTCCGCCTTATATTATGCATTGAATAAAGGATTATTATTATTATTATAGAAGTATAGACACAAAATCGTAGGTAAGGGGTTAAAAATTCTACCTTGATGAAAATTTGTCCTATTTGCTATGGTCTGGATTTAATCATAGGACCCAGATTCAACTCTCTACCCTTGACATTTCTTAATAAAAGCATCAAAAGGGTCCTTAATAAGAACTCTTTACTAAAATTTAAAATCGATGTAATGCTCTCTACGGTAAAGTTAAAAATTGACTGTGACTAAAGTAGCCCGAGATAAACCTTTTGATCGACCCTAGACACATTTGGTGATACATGATTGGCCAGACAACTTTTAAATTAATTCAATCCAAGGGTGTTTGTTCGTTGTACGTCCTGCTAAGAAAAATACTCGTACAAAATCCAGTGTATCAAATATATAATCTGAATTATCTCTCAAATAATCCACGATTATAGCTAAAAAAATTAAAATCTGATATCTTTTGAGAGCAAAAAACTGTTCCGGAATGTAAGATGATTCCTTTTATTTCATTGTCCATTCTCTCCTTGCCCAGTAATAAAGAGAGCGTTGATACAACTTCGATTGAATAAAAAATAAAACGTGTTTCTTGTTTTTTTTCTGCACTGGGAAGGGAATTTACTACCGAAATAAAAATTATAATGATAATGAAGACTGAATTATGATTAATTAATGTAATATTGTCTCATATTAATATTTTCATTCATTCAATGTGAAAATTTATTATTCAATTTACTCAATATAATGAACGTGAGTTGCTTTAATAAATGTATTTACTTTTGTCAAAGCATGCGAATGAGCAGCTTGAATTCAACTAAGTTTTTAACCCTTTAAAAGAAATCAAATTAAGTGTTTCCTGTCGAGTGACAAGTAATTCGAGGTCTAGACCTCCATCATTATCAAATCATTAATGAGCTTTCGCAAATAACATTTTGCTGACCACAAACATGTAAAAGCCATCAAATGCACAGATAGACATCCCATAAAATGACACAAAAAAAGAAGAAAACTTATCAATGAATTATTGAATGAATTTGTCAATAAAATGTAGACACATGGAACATCGTCGTTAAAGACCGTATCAAATATTGACTTTCATATCAACGCCGATATGTTGACGCGCATTGCTATTTCACTCACAGACAGTGAGGCCTTTCAATGCACACATGAGATGAAAACAGCTTATGTCGTTGCTGTCGAAAGCCTATAAGTTGAACTGTACATATTTGTTGCGGTCTATGGCTAGATTCCACAGCGTATGTTCCACATAAAATAGCTTGCAATTATGGTGAATTTAATTTAAGATAATAGCTTGAACGGAAGCATACTTGTGGGGTCGGAAAAAATATTTTTGGTCCTTGGAATAATTAAATTATTGCGATGGGCTACCTTAAAAATCAATTCACAGTTGGAGAACGATACGTGACGAAATGTTGTGAGATTTTATTCACTCATTTGTCCTTTTTCTTTTGCTGTTTCAGTTTACTGCTCAATTTTGTAACGTGCTTGTGTACAAAAAAACACTTAAGAATTTCATTTTGTCTTCAAGTTTCATAATTTCTTCTACCAATGCCGTATTCCTTACCCCAAAAAAATATCTTACCTTTTCCGTTGATTATTACACAAAATTATTTACCTTCTGTATCCTTTCCTTTAATCAAGGGGAGAACAATGTGATGGGGAATAATTTTGCCTCTTTTTATCGGAAACAGTGTAAAGCTTTAAGGGGTAAACATCGTGATGAAGATACAAAATTCATATTAAGTTGTTTATACCTCAGAATACTGTTGGTCAAAAGTCTACTTAAGTTTTCCGATCATACTGTTTCCCCCCCTTGCCTACAACTCAAATTCCTTCTTTTGCTCCTTTTCATCTGTTGGCATTCGAGCATTAATGAACAAAAAAAGAGAAATCTTCTTTCCTACGTTGCTTAAGGTCTACTGAATAATTTATATCTCGACTTCTCCTTTTTTTTACTTTGTTGCTTTCAACATTTCCTCCTTTTTATGTCTTCACGTTCATCCTTTCCTTTGTAGAGCTTTCGTTTTTCAATTTGCTAAGCACAAAAAAGAGGACATTGAATGAGAGGCATAAATTAATGATGAGAAAATTGAAAATGCAAATTAAATTAAACCAATGATAATGATGGGTCAAGAGCAAACAGTTCTTTTTGTTATGTCTAAGAGAAAGTATGGGACAGAAGTAATTATTATAGGCGAACGATTTAAATTAAGCTATAAGAAGTTGAAAATGTTTTGTCGTCTTGTGGTCCAGTCAATCTTTGTCTTTGGATTCAGGGTTGTTGTGAACTCAAATAAAAGGGATTGACATTAAGTTGAAAAGGGTCAATGACGATGAAAAAACAGTGGGATAAGTAAGTGTTGATTGGCGGGAGCAGTCAAGTAAGAATTCAATTTAATTTTCTTAATGAATAATTATCTTTTGTCAAGGTGATAATACTTAATGGTATTAAATGTCTTGACAAAAAGAGAGCTAGACGTAAATTAAGTGTTACTCAAGAATGATTGTGCCTGAATCCAGGAATGTATTCTAGACAGGTGTGTGGCCTAGTGGGATCCACATATCCATCGAGCTATATGTTGATGAATCTGCTAATGCGTGATTAAGAACTTTGTGAGAAGTCGGACACCAACAAGATGCTGCTTTCTAAGATGTGGGTTCAATTCCAACAAGAGGCTGGTCTTAAAATCTATTACATAGAGTTGTGGAAAGACAAGTATTCGTACTTTAACTCCTGCTTAAACAATTTCTAGAACAAGACTCAACCTTTTTCTTGAATTGAGTTTTACTCTAAATTCCAAAAATCGGGTTTGAACTTCTGCAGTATTTTAATATAGACTTGATTCAAAACAAGACTTGATTCTTCATGCAAATCAAATTGCCATTGAAATGAAAATTCATTCATCATGAGCATCGATAAGATAGCTTGACATATGATGAAATGCAACTCCCATGACGGTAATAATCTTTAAATTTCATTTCCTAAAGAATCTATATCTTAATAACATGAAAGCTTCCCTCTCAAAAAAGTATAAAAATGAGCTCTGGGTTTTGAAATCCTCTAAAGACTTGCTATGGACATGCCATGTATATAAATTAGGTCAGGAGAATGTATGTCTATCTTTGTCCATTCACGTCACAAGAATCATTTGTAACTGTGTCAGGATATCCGAAAAAATATTCATTCAATTTTTTTCCATTAAAATCTTTTGTTTTTGTTTCATTATGGACTTTGTTGTTTTTGGGGCTTTGGACAATGAATTTTACGGAAAGATGCTCTTTTGTGAATGAACAATCTGATGAATTGAGTTCTTTTTTTTGAGGATAATCTTTCTGTGATGACAATAATCTCTTGAAAGTCCTAATCTCTTGAGCTTTCATTGCATTTCAAAATCTTCAATTAAGTTGTTGCTCTTTGGTAGAACCAAACGATAGAGTTTTATTAGACTGATTTTGATCCACTAATTGGCTAATAATTGATTGCGAATAGGTTTTTTTTTCATATCCAATAGATTTCAGAATACAGTTCGCTTAGTAATGTCTGCAGGATCTTTCGCTAGCTTCTGACCAATCCAGCCTCATTTCTTTCTTATCACATCCAACAT